GGTCTGGACCACTCGTGAATTTTGTTCTGAAAAAAAATCTTAGAATACGAAAACATTGGTGAATGCCACAAATTCTCCTAAATCACTCATACGCACAACTTAAGAACATATCTGTGCGTACGAATCATTCTTGCATGAGGCCTAATGCTCCTAAAAAAATGCTCCTAGAAAGGTTGCAAAAGGCATGAAGCATTGTTGTGAAGATGTGCCAAGGTGGGAGTATCAGAAATGGCAGCAAGTTCTCAAAGAGACAGAGGCCTTTTTCTTGGTGTTTAGGCTATGATGAAAAATCAAATGTATTTTTTATATATACAGCATTTTCATAATTGAAGGTAACTCGATTGCTGTATAGGAAGAACTATGAGTCTGGAAAATATATAATCCCCCCATCCCCCGATCTTTTTTTGTTTGTGCTACTCAAAAGAATTATTTCTGTCACCAGAAAAAAAAAAACGTCACAGCTGACAGGTTTCTTAGGATTTGCCTGTAGTTTATTTGCTATTCAAAACTGAACATAAACATATTCTATTTGACGTGATTTATTAAAACCAGGAAACTTATTACTGTTTTTATTACCATTTTTATGAGCCACTTAAAGGAGGGAGCAGTAAAGTGGTCAGTGTTACCAACCGAAGCTAGCCTTTCTAATTTGCAAACAGCCAAACTTTTAAAGTGACTGTCGTTTGTGATTTGTCGTCCTCGCTCTTCCCACGCACCAGCTGTTCCTTTACTCACTTTATCATTTTTTTCACAACTGTGGCAAATGTAAAATGAATTGTTACAAATGTAAAATGAAGGCAATAAGAAATAATTCAATTTTCCTTGCCTGTCCCTCCGTCTCAGTCACATCCTTGTTTTATACCTCACATGTTCTGGGTCTAATGGGAAACAGCAAGCTTGTTGTTTATCACATTCTAATCCTCTAAACAGGATTTTTAAGGCTGCTGCAAAACCTTATATGCATATATTTTAGAGGTTTAAAGTGCAGTTAGGTTAAAACTTTTTAAGTTCCTTGACTCAGCATCTCATACATAATTTTCTCAAAGTTTGTGTTCAGAGTTGGTGTGATGGTGCAGACCTGACCTCAGTATGCAATCTGCATCTTTTTCTGTTGCTGACATTTGAGTTGAACTGGGCGAAGCACCTGAAAACCTTTGTTTTTTCTTCATCCCTCCACAGATAATCGCATATCAGCCGTATGGACGATCTGTAGACTGGTGGGCGTATGGAGTTCTGCTCTATGAGATGCTGGCTGGACAGGTGAGTAACCACTTTTATGCTTGTTTAGCAAAAATTAAAGCAATTGTAAAATTATCTCATATTATTAGAATACATTTTTTGTCACAATTTCTGTTCTGTTTTTAAAAACACAGATTTTCTGTTGCTAGGATGTTCTTCTAAAAACTTTCAATGCTGAAAACTTCTCAGCAGTTCAAGAGAACAAATCAATAATCTACAAGCTTGTAAAAGAAAAAAAAAGTGAAAGTACAGTGTTAATAAATACACATTCTTGAGGGATTTTCACCAATATATTGCCAGTATAAAAATGGCATAATAGCTTTATTCTCTATTATTTAATGATATTTGAAACAGCATTGTAATTGATCTGGTAAATATTAATATATTTGTTTTATTTTCCTAAAGATATTATTATTTATCTATTTTCTTAATCAGAGAAGATAAAATAACTACTAGTATTTAGGAACATTTTTACATAGTTTATGTACTTTTTTACTTTATAAAAACATTTTACGTTATTGTTGGCATGACCTCTGTTGCACACAAAAAGAAGTCAAAATCCTCACTCCATCGCAGCAAGATGAATGGTGTGGTGCAGACAGCCTACCTGCAGTCGATGCTGGCCACTGGAGTGGAAATGACGAATAATTCATTATACGGGTTGTCAAAACACCCATATTATAGTTACTGATGATAACGACCCAGCAAAGAGGGGAAAAAGATAGGTCATCCACTTCACTGGCCCCACAAGGATTTTATATAAAAGATATTTTCCTGGGGAGTTGTTTTAACTCTTTTTAGGTCTTTTTATTTTGTTATAAACCTTTTTCTGGCTCATACATATGTATTTATAAACAGTTTATTATCAAAAAATGGAATCAGTGTCTCACAAATGCTGCCCCTGCTTTACTGCAAAGAACTAAAAATGTTTTTGCAGTAAAAGTCAGTTTTCAACCCCACATATTCTGAATTGAAGGGTGAAATTGTAAAATTGTAGATCTTGTGGTTTTTTATTCATTTGTTTTCATTTCATTCTCAGCCTCCGTTTGATGGTGAGGATGAAGATGAGCTGTTTCAGTCCATTATGGAGCACAACGTGTCCTACTCAAAGTCTATGTCTAAGGAAGCTGTCTCCATCTGCAAAGGGGTGAGTGAATGAAGGAACAGTTGTTTTAATTATGAACCTGTGATGGGAAAAAAACTGTTTTTGTTGTTGTTGTTATGTAAATGCTGATACAGCATTCACTCTATAATTTTTTTATTTAAAATTTAACTTTAGGGCAATCAAACTACTTTTGCATAGTTTATACAATTTTAATCATTTATATATCAAAATGTTCAACTTCGAAACTACTCTAATTCATTTATTCTTTATCATTTTTATACTTTTTAATTATGTAAATTAATTTATAAAAATATATATGTAAGTACACAGATAACTCTCTAATTCCTTTAAGAACATGATATGAATTTAACTTTGACATACTTGGTCTGTTTTTGCCTTCCTTTGCTATTTTTTTGGTTTTAGCTAGAGTTTTTCTAAATTTACCTTTTAGCTACTGTATGGTATTACATCTGTAATGCTACAATTAGCTTGTGGCTACCAGTAAGCTAATTTTAGCATTTAGCTCTTGTTTTGATAATTTTAGCTTTTAGCTATTACTACTTAAGCAAACATACTGTAATGCTACAGTTAGCTTGTAGCAACCGGTACAGTAGTTTTAGCATTTAGTTATGATTAGCTTTTTTTTAGCTTTAACCAATTTATCCTAATTATAGCTTTTATCCATAATTTTACAAATTTTACCTTTTAGAAACTTTTTCAAATTTTAGCTTTAATGAACAGTTTCACAGGTTTTAGCTTCTGCTTGTTTTAACTTAAACATTTCAATTTATTCTGAAACAAATTTCAAAAATGCCAGTCAGCATACACACATTTTCTGTGATACAAATTTTCTGCTTTATTTTACCAAGAACATTTTAAACATGCCAGAAGAGCTTTTAACTTTGTTTTTAATTTAAGAATATGTTTCCAT